AAGCATGTTGTCTTTTATATATTTTGTTAGTCCAATAAGAAAGGTATCATTGCACACTGCAATACTGCGTTTTTGACATCTTGTCTACTGGACTAACACGGCTTACCCATATATATATTATAGTGCATGAAAATTGCAATGTCACAGGCTTAATTACTATGGCAACAAGGAAAGTTATAACTCCTGAGACACGTTGTCATGACCCAACCCCTGACGAAGGGGGGGACGCAACGTACGTTTGGTGGAGTCCGATAGGCAGAAATATGGACACCGGCACTCCAATAGCAAATCAGATACGTCTATTTATTGACGTACATGCAGCATAGCATAATACACTCAGTGCAATGGTTCAGGGTCTCACAGGATCCCCTTCATCAGGCAGAACACAGTATTGCGGTACCGTGCGTTCCAGTGCGGATGATCACACTGTGGGTGGGAGGTGCGGTTGGGGTTCCATTGACATGAATGGCACTGCATCGCACCTCCCACACCAGAATTTGTCAGGATGAAAATGGAAAATTATTTTTCTCCCACCTTTTATAAAAAAAATTTTTTTAATAACTGTATTGTAAGCACATGGCGCTGGAATAGCTTCAGCCCGGGAGTGATAGCTGCCGGTGGCAAGATTCCGCAGACGGCAGCTGAATGTAAATACAGCAGGTAGTGGGCGGGTGCAATAGCCAGCCTGCTATTGGCCATTTCACATTGCAATAGCCAATAGCAGGCTGGCTATTTGCACCCGCCCACTGCTTACTGTGCCCTCCTCCCAGCATGGAGGAAAGAGCAAGGGGATCCAACCAACTAATCAACTATTCCCATTATTGATTATTATCGATTAGTTGGTTGCAGCCCTATACATCAGTGTTCTATGGAACAGCATTGGATGAAGGAGGCAGGACACCTTCTGTTGGTCTTGTGAGCTTATTTCCAGTGATATGGTTTTAGTGCATCCAGTAAATTAAAGAGCCGGTTTCTCAGTTTCAAATAAACCTGCAACCCATCACCAATTAAAAGAACTCCAGGAACTTTTTTTTATTAACCCTTGCATTGGGGCTACTCCCGTACTGCAAGGGTTAAATGCTCGTTTGTGTCTAGGTTTAAAAAAAAATAAAAGTTGTACTGACCCAAAGCTTTGAGCCGGCTTCTTTTTAGACCAATCCTTCCAATGGCCCCCCCCCCCTCTTCTGCAGCGGTCTAAGGTCCCGTAAATCACGTCTATACACAGTGAAGATTCCAATGCTGCAGGTAGGGGGAGGCTGGAGGGAGCGCTGGGACAGCTGGCCGGTCAGAGCTTCAGGTGAGTTCAATTTTGTTATTTTAGACAAAAACGAGCACTTAACCCTTGCAATGCACAGGTAGGCCCACTCCAAGGGTTATTAATAATAATAATTTTTAAAAAAATCCTGGAGTTCTCTTGTAAGACGATTGTATGGTTTGTACTACGGATGCACCGATACTGGTTTTCAGGATCGAGTACCGATATTTTTTTTTCCGGTACTCGCTGATACCGAGTGCCCCGATTATCAGGAAGTTGGCCGGCGGATCATGACCCGTCAACCGGCTTCCCCATTGCCTGTGAAGCCCGTGTTCTAGCAAAAGAAGACTGACAATCAGGAAGCCAGGAGGAGAGTCATGAGGTGCCATCCGTGTTCCTGATTGGTCAGGAAGCCAGGCTGCTTAGCAACATGTGAAGCTGGCTTCCTGACCGATCAGGAAGCCGAGCAGAAAGTCATGACCCGCCTCCTGACTTCCTGATTGGCTTCACTTGATCCTAGACAGCCTGGCCTCCTGGCCAATCAGAAAGCTGGGAAGTGGGTCATTACATGGCAACCGACTTCCTGATTGGTTAGAAAGCCAAGTTAGTTACTTAGCAACATGTGAAGCCGGCTTCCTGGCCAATGAGGAAGCCGGGAGGCGGGTCATAACTCACCACCCGGCTTCCTGATTGGAAAGGAAGCCAGCTCCATGCTCCCTCTGCATTGCCGGTCAGAGGAAGTTCTGGTATCGGAGCATTTGGGATAGTACGGGTACTCCCCCAAATACTCGGTATCGGCACTGATACTAGTACCGGTGCATCCCTAGTTTGTACTTACAACTATACCTGATGCAAGCTTGTACCCCTGACATGGTGAGAGAGCGAGAAGCAATGCAAGAGGCTTATTACTGAGACACCAACAAATCCTCTGTACACAGCCAGGTCACCTGGGATGTCTCTTCCGGATCCATATGGGACACCGGTGTCACTGCGCACACATACATTTATAGGATTTCAGATATGGGGGGGGGGGGAAAAAACAGTACGAGAGGTGGTAGAGTGGACACATAACAAGTAGGTAACAGGTGATGGTAGCAGAGGAACGTTGGGGGTGACACAAATAAAAGAAAGACTCACTACAACAAGGGTAGGCAAACTCCAGCCGTGGTGACACTACCAATCCCATCATGCATCTGCCTCTAGGATTCAGAGTCTTGCAATGCCTAGTGGGATTTGTAGTTGCACCAGAGCGGGAGGGGCGGAGTTTGCCTTCCCCTGATTTACTATACATGGGGGCTTTGTGTTGTCTTACCATCTGTAGGTGTTCCAGGCCGCATGGAAAGAAGGAGAAGAGTTCTTATTACAAAGAAAACATATTAGCAGATAAAACATAGAACTGTATATAAATATCCACAGAGACACTTACAACCCCACTGGAGGACTTCGTCTTCAGCTCCAACTTCACAAGACCGATCCCTGAAAACAGAAAGACGTCACAATTCTGGTTCTGACACAACATCACCGATCTGCAATCCAATGAGCTGGTCACTCCACCTGCGGAGCTCAGATCCATTCCAATGGCAGATCAGAGGTGTGCGGCGTCAGCTCATGTTAGTATGTAGGTAAAGTCGTACTAAACTCTCAAACCTTTTCCACTAATGAATCCGGATCAAATACACATCACACAGCAAAGTATTTCTTCCCAAGCAGCCATAATCATATTTCAGAGCAGCTCCAACTCTCTCAGCTCGCCTTCCCTGAACTTCCTGTCCAGTACAAGATCACACGGGGCAGAGCAGTCTCCAGCAGCCGTCCATCTACTAGCTTGGAGGAGGGAGGAGCAGGGAGAAGAAGGGAGGAGCAGGGAGGAGCAGAGAGAAGGAAGGAAGGAGAAGCAGGGAGAAGAAGAGAGGAGCAGGGAGAAGAAAGGAAGGAGCAGGGAGAAGGAAGGAAGAAGCAGGGAGAAGAAGAAGGGAGAAGAAGCAGGGAGAAGAAGGGAGAAGAAGCAGGGAGGAGCAGGGAGAAGAAGAGAGGGGAAGGAAGAAGCAGGGAGAAGAAGAGAGGAGCAGGGAGAAGAAGAGAGGAGCAGGGAGAAGAAGAGAGGAGCAGGGAGAAGAAGAGAGGAGCAGGGAGAAGAAGAGAGGAGCAGGGAGAAGGAAGGAAGGAGCAGGGAGAAGGAAGGAAGGAGCAGGGAGAAGGAAGGAAGGAGCAGGGAGAAGAAGCAGGGAGAAGAAGAGAGGAGCAGGGGAGTGGATTGCCTTGCACTTACAGTCATCATGGCTCTGAACAGCAGTCCATCTACTAGCTTGGAGAAGGGGGCAGTCGGGTTGGTTGGTGGTGCGGTGGAAGGGGAGCCAGTAGATTTCCTTGCTGTACACAATGTATGTATTCTGTGCCTGAGTGTTTGTAGAAACACACACAGCTTCCTAGCACACACAAAGGTGGCTCCATAGGACCCTGAAAAGGAAAGGAGCCACCCTAAAACAGGATACCAGGGCCAGAGCTCTGGGGACCGGCTGATTCTGCAGCAAGGTAAAACCTTTAGGGCCCATTCACACCAGAACTGTGTGCATCTGCGCAGCTGCAGTGCAATGCGTTCGTTTTGCCACAATTTTACCACGATTGACACGTGTTGTTTTTTTTGGGGGGAGGGGGTTTGTTTAAAGTGAGATTTCAGGTTCCATTGCATTCAATTGCATTTTTGATGCATTCCGTTGCGATCCGATGCAGCTAAAATAGGGCAAGCAGTATTTTTTTCTGACTGCATCGGAACAGACTGCACTGGTGTGAACAGAGTACCAGAAAGCCCATAGGAAAGCATTGTGATGCATTTTGGAGGCAGCTGCCGATCTGAACGGACTGCATCTGCTGTGAACTGGCCCTTAAACCTGAAGGAGCAGCATCCATTCTAAGCGATTTCATCTGCATTTGAAATAGCTTAAAAAAATCTTTTGACTTTGAGTTGCTACTAATTGCCACCGGGAATCCGGATGGTGAAGTGGCGATTCCTTGTCTGTACGGATTTCACTGGACAATCTACTCAAAGCATAATAAAGATATCAACATTGTAACAGCAGCAACACGGCAATATGCGAGCATTGCGTTCACTGACGTCCATTTATTCCAGACCTATGGACATGTAGATCTGTGTCCCCGATGTCATCATTAGGAGATCTGGAAGTGCAACGTTCCTACATAAATGTGACAGAAGCCAGACAAGGCCGATTCCTGTCTCTGCTCATGTTTACATCCTGGAAGTGGCTACGCCTGGACTGGATCACGTCAGAAACTACACACAGCGTATGGATTATTATGGACGCATGGTGTCTTTCCGATACCAAATCATAGAGCATGCACTACGACATAAACATCATCTAGTACCTTGGTTCTCAACTGGTGGGTCGCAACCCCGTGTTCAGTGGGTCGCCACGTGCCTTCCGCTACTCTAGGTTAGAGGCTCCTCAGCCTCCCCGGATAACATAGACACCGGCGCTCCAAGTAATGAATCAATAGCGTCTATTTATTGACGCATGAAACATAGCACAATGCATCAAAAAGCAACGTTTCGGGGTCTCACAGGATAATTTTGCCTGATGGAGGATCCTGTGAGACCCCAAAACGTTGCTTTTTGATGCATTGTGCTGTTTCATGCGTCAATAAATAGACGCTATTGATTCATTACTTGGAGTGCCGGTGTCTGCGTTATCCTGTAATTATAGACGATTGCCATCCGTCGACTGCCGCAGCACCCGTCTTTTATAAGGAACAGAGGTTTTGAGTGCGATGAGTTCATGGACTGTATCCTCAGCCTCCCAACGCGGCGCTGTCAGTTCTCACGCCACGCAGCCATCTAAAATATGCTGCCCGGTGCAGAGTGTCAGCTTGAGGTGAGAGGGCTGGGGGTATTATCATCCATCCATCCATGCGTGCATTGCTTACAGCTCCAAAATTGTGTGCATCTTCCTGCACTCCTTACCGGATCTCCTAGGAGATGATGTCTGTAATAGGGTGCTTGTAGCGGCCACGGAGGCACCGTGTAGTCAAGTAGTAATTCCAAAAGATGTCACCAGCACTCCAAAAGTAGATTCAATATATTTTAATGACAACGGTCATTAAAAATCACAAGTACTTTCGGGGCCATTCTGAGCCTGATGACGGGGACCCAACGTGGCCCCGAAAGTACTTGTGATTTTGAATGACCGTTGTCATTAAAATATATTGAATCTACTTTTGGAGTGCTGGTGACATCTTTTGGAATTGCTTACAGCTCCCTCGCATCATGCCTGTAGAGGTGCCTGGACCGGAGTGACATCACATTCTGGCTCCCGCCACCCCTACAGGGCACACAAGGAAGCTGTACAAGCAATGCACACTGGACCCCAGGCTGAGGATACACTCCAGTTCTTGTAAGGTAGGGTGCATTTGCGTGTGTGCGTCAGTGTTTTTGAGGGCCCATTCACACTAGTACAGTGTGAACGTGCCCTATTGCCTACAGGCAATTGGCTGTAACATGCAATCACTCTTACTACGTGTTCTGGTGTGAGAGGTGCGTTGCCATTCATTTGAATGGCACCCCAAATGCACCTCCAGAGAACGCACACTTAGTTTGCCCACATCAGAACTTGTGGTACCGCAACGCCGTGCGTTCCAGTGCGGTGCCACTTGACCACCAAGGACAAATGCGGGTTCCAAGGTTACAGAGAACCACTGATCCAGCGACTATTGCCATTACCTTCTCTTTCCCTGCGTCTGCCCCAACGTGCATTTCACAAGGAAGACGACTTACCATAGCCTTTGCTGAACAGGTCGCGGGCGGCCTTGCCCAGGTCTGCGTAGTTGGGTGGTACAGCCATGACTCTGAGGGGAGAAAGAACAGGTCAATGATTGTTCTCTTTACCTGTAAGCCATTCCTGAACCGTTCCATCATTAAAAGAAAACAAACTTAAGTGTCCATTTGGTCCGGGGGGTGGGGGAGGAGGGTTCTAAACTAAAGCTGTATTACTCAAATCATTCTGGGTACTGAGGCAGTAACCTCTCTCCCCCCTCTGGCTGTGGAATGCACCTCGGCATCTTCACATCCAAAAGTAAAGTCGATGGACCTGCACAAGACCATGTCAGTGGTCCTGCTGGAGCCCAGGGAAGAAGAGGCTGCGGGGACAGGTCTAGCAGCCCAGGGATCAAGTACGTAATCAAGCTTTATTGTTCTCCCCTAGACAAAGCCAGCACTTTAGCCTTGCAGTGCGAGGGTGGCCCCATTGCACGGGTAAGCTTTTGATTTTCCCAGAGTTCTTTAGAAGATAAAAGATGCCACATTCATGCCAAGTAAAGAAAACACAACTAGCTCCATCTAGATCTAGAAGGATGTCACCCCTTACGTTTATTTCATCACATCTAGGTCACTACTTCCTTCAGCAGCCTTAACTTTTCCTTTAAAGGAGAACTATGGGTCAGGGCTTTTCCCCATAGTTCTCCCGTCAGCCTAAACTCAGTATATCGCGAGCTGTACTGAGACGCTGCAGCTGAAGCGGATCCCGACAATTATGTCTGGATCCGCCCAGCTGCGTGAGTGACAGCTGGCTCTGCCTATCTAGAGGCAGAGCCAGCTGTACCCGCCCCCGTCCGTTCCGCCAGTCAGCGCTGGCGGATCGGAGGGGGGAATCCAGCCCCTCCCCTGTCACGGTAGAGAGCCGTGACAGGATCGAGAGGTGAGCGAACGCCGGTATGTGTTCGCTCACCTCCCGATCTACTGAGCCGACCTGTGACAGTCTCATTGTCACAGGTCGGCTAGAACTATGAGGTGAGTGAAAAGCACTCCCCTCATAGTTCTCCTTTAATGGCTCCTGCAGACGAGCGTGCACACCCATAAAAAGACCCGGCAGGGACAAGTGCTGTGCGTGCAGCGGGCCGGTTGATGGGAGGATGAAGGCGCACGCAATCACACACCCCGAACCTGCACAGCCTTGCTGGCCTGCGTGTCCGCACTCTGATGAGCCCTAAACGTCTATGGATGATATCACCACCACACCATGCTGAGGAAGAGCTCCCCAGTGACCTCGAAACGTCACTTCCTGTTGGTGACAAAGCGTCTCATCTTCTCATCTGAACGCGGTGCACTGGGGAGGTCTTGCATTGGGATTTATGCTGTGGTGGCGCCATTTTATGATTGGGTCTGAACGCTGTATGGGGTGCACTGAACTCTCACCTTCTCTATCTGTACTGGTGACCACGGTCTCTGGAACTGGAAAACTGGAAGGGAAAAACTAAAATTTGGGACTTCCAATAAAGGAGACTTGTTCTGGTGACAAAGGGAACTTCCCGCATGACAAAATGATTTCCTTTTACTTCCTGTTTTGTCTACAGGACAGGAAGTCCTGAAGTCCTGCCCCGGCCTTAGTCCTTGGACAAGTAGTTTTTTTTTACATTTCCACACCCCTGCTTATATATGAGCCCCTATATGTCCCATGATTCCTTGAGGCTTGTGCAGTGTCTGGCAATGAAAGGCGACGAGTGCTCGCCGCCCACAGCTACACAAGTCCACTACAATCAGAGATTCATGGGCAGATATAACTGGGCGAGATTCTATGCAAACTGCAATCCCGTCCAGTAGCATCACCTCTGTAGTCCCTGAAACGCCGCAGATACCGACAGGAAGTGGCTGTGCGACATTTACCAGCGCACCAACGCCTTCATCTGGTGACGTGCGAGGATGTAATCACAGACGCCAACATATTTTTATTTTCGATGTTGGAGTTTTGCCGACAGCGACGATTGCTGATCATAGTTTAGTGAACATCAGGACGAGTCACAGAAGAAGGCGTCATCCAATCAATTACCAAACTTAAAAACTCTACAACCAATCAGTGTCTTCGATCCAGCGTGTCTCGGTAAAGGGAGCAGCAGCTGATTGGTTCCGTTTGTGACGCCCAAAACGCCTCCCCTCCACGATAGAGGTAACCGGTGCACGGCGATGTTGAAATCTGGCTTGCTAAAAAAAAAATACATCTCAGGATCAGCCCGGGCTTAGCTGTGCGTGTCAATGACGGGCGCTGAGAGCTGCAGTCACATGACCACTTAACTAATGGCATTGGGCAAGTGTCAGAAGACGGCTTCCATGGTAGGGATATGTGATCCCTCCTCGCCGCATGAGACGGGTCCGGAATAAGCCTCTTATTTTTTGATGATCTAATCCATTTAAAAGATCAGAGTCCGCTCAGCGGGTATAAAGTCCGATGTCGACACAAAACCGAGCGCCGGAAATACGGCCTCATGTCCAGGTCTGCCGCCGCTGCCGTCTAAACACGCACTTCAAAAACAACATGGAGGGATCTGGTTGCTAATAGCGGTTACACCAACACAACTGCTGCAGCCGTGTTCTTGGCATCATTCTAAACAGCCGGCGATTGCTGTTCAAGTACAAGCGATCCGTCGTCTACACAGCCGCCAGATCGTTTGTACCGATCAGTGGATGGTGCTGCCCCCACCCCGTCACCAGCTTCTCCGGGTTTCGGTGTCCCTCGTGCGGGCCCGGGACCGGCATAGTGGATCTCCCTGCAACGATCGGAGAGAGATCAGCAAGCTTCCAGCCGCGGATCTCTCCTCCGATCACTGAACCTGGAAGTGATGCGCATTACATCACTTCCGGTGTCACTGGGCACATTCTCCGGCTCCTAGAGCCAGAAGAAGAAGCTGGAGAAGCAGTCCTCTGCTTCATCAGCTTCTTTGGGGTCCCTAGGTGACATTAGGGGTCTGAAAGACATCTGATGTATCCATAAAGAGGACCTGCCACACCCTATCTGCTATTACATAGAGGGTTTGTTAGGCCTTCTATGTGATAGCAATAAAGTTAGTGTAAACATTTTTTTTTAAAGGGCCCCCCACGTGCACGTACATACATATGCAAACACGCGTCGCTGTGTCTACGTGCAAAAAAAAATAATATTTGCGCCACAAATAGTCGGAGTGAGAGCAATAATTCTCGGCCCATCAATCACTGTTAACACTAAACTGTAGCATGTAGCGACATACCTTTTGCAGCGGCCAGGATAGCGCGACTTTCGGGGCGACGTTCCAGCGACGGTAGCGCAACCTTCTCCGTCGGGCTCCATAGAAAAAATGCAAAATCGCGCAAAATCCGCCGAAAAAAGGGTCCGGCAGAAGCGACTTGCGACATGGAGTTAAGACAGCTCCATTGAATATCATTGGCCGGCGACTTCTCGCGATATCGCGGCGGAAGTCGCTATATGTGAACGGGGCCTGAAAGTGTCGCCGGAAATTCGGGGGAATTGTAGTTTTTTGCGGTTTCACGGACGCACACAATTTTAAGGCTTGGTATCTATTTACCCGGCGTGACCCCGTCTTTCATATGTTACCAAAAATTGGGTATTAGATTCTGTTTCTGCGCACTAAATTTCATTTTAGTTTATTTTCTCCTAAAAATACCAGTGTGATAAACATTTGCGCAAATACCGTGCAATTGCAACTAGCGTCTTTTTTATTCTGCAGGGCCTCCAATTTCAGAACATAGATCATTGTTTGGGGTCTGAAGCTGTTTTCTAGCCAAAAATTCAGATTTTATCATCTGTGCGCAAATGTAAGACGTTGCTACGGACAGCAAGGGGTTAAGGAGACCAAATGGGCATCTCTAAAATCACAATGAACCAGAATGGAATGTTGGACCTCAGGGGGACGTTTTTTGGGCAACGCAGATGTGAGATCAGAACAAGGACGGTACTTACAAAACGCGCAGACAACCCGTTCCTATAGAACACTATCCTGACTTCCTGCAAAGCTCCACCATGACTGCCAGAGGCGGCCATATTGAATGCAGCATCAGCACCAGTACCAGCGAGCGATATTTCATGTGCAAAGTCTAATGAGAGATCAAACAGACCTGAAATCCAATATTGGTAAGTTTACAGCCTCTTCTTCCCCCCGGGCTCC